TTCGGTTAAGTGTCTAGAAATTCGTCATGGTTTTGATCAAGTTTGTCATGGTTTAGATCCAAATTAATATATGTTGTTTCAGCTCAATATTGATATTTTGTTTTAAAACGCTTGTAATTAAACGAAGTTACACAATTTACCAACTGACTAAGAAGAAAAAAAGCCATTTAAACCAAAATTAGATGCTGTAATTGGCAAAGCATACATTAAACAATTTAACTGTTCGTGACTTGTCTTTGTATGCAAATCGTACTACTACGAGTGTCTTGTAAAAGAATTAGGAATAAATGAGCACTGTTATCCCACATACAAAAACATCATTTGATAAGGATGAGATTTTGGTGATTCATAAGTCCTTAATAGCTTCAATGAACATTACTTTGAGCAGCAAATCGGAGGACTAACCTTGTTTGTATTGGATACCTAAGCTTCAAAAAATTCCATATTCGACGAAAGAATTGTCCATTAGATTGACAAAGATTCTTTCCTCAATGAAAGAGGGTTTTCAGAAATACCGTGAAACTGTTTACTGGCGTAGTGGCATTAACCATGTATGGATTTTAAAAAAACTCTTAAAGAACTTCTTAATAAATGTAAATCTCGATCTTTCTCTGAAATTAGTTCTATCAAAACGTTTAATTTTTCAACCCTGTGTACCACCATTCTCTATGTGTAATTGAAAAATCGTCTAAAAGAAATAATTTAAATCTACAATGCTTTTCAACATAAAAATGGTAGCGCACGCTATACATTTATTACTTTTGGATACCATACGGCATATTTTGTTAAAAGTGGACAAAAAAATAAAACATGCTACACAGAGGAACAAGTGACCAGTATGCTGGAGTTTCTTATTGACAAAATATTTGTTGAATTTGGAGGTAGATTTGTCACCAAATTGTCGGTATTTCTATGGGAGCGAACTGTGCGGCAGCGACCTCTTTTATCTTCATATTAGTCGGAGTTCCTTCAGACATTTGTAAAAAACAAGAAGATCAAAGAAGCCAGATCATTTAATTTCACATTCATATATTTTGTTCTTTCCATCAACAATCCAGTCTTTTCTGATTGAATTCCATTAATATATCCTACAGAACTAAAAATTAAAGGAACAGCAGACACGGCTTCCTCTGCCTCATTTTTAGACTTATACCTCGAATTTGACATGAGCGGTCATCTTAGTACCAAAATATATGACAAACGAGACGATATTAATTTTAAAATTATCAGTTTTTCCAACCTTAGTAGCCATATATAACAACTTTTCCTGCATATGGGATATACATTTCCCAACTCATTCGATATTCAAGAGCTTGCAGATGCTACTCAGACTTTGTAAACCGTCACCAGTGTCTGAGCAGAAAGTTGATGAACCAGGGGTATGTTAAAGAACGTCTCGTCCTTTTTCCAAAAAAGTTCATCGGAAGACCTTGTGGGTAAATATTCCTTTTCAATTTCAAAAATAATAAACAATGGTCTTTAAGTATAGATTATAAGTACTAACATTGTTTGTCACCTTAATGACGTGGTATGGTACTCTTTTATTTGTCTTTGTAAATTATTACTTTAACTGTTTAGTTTATTTTTGGCCCCATCCATTTGAGGTGGCTCGGTACTTAAACATCCCGTCATCGTGTTATTGTGCTATGGTAAATTTTTGTATTCTTGTCTTTCGTTTTTGCTTATGTGCTTTATGCCTTTTTGTTTTTCTTTGTTGAAATATTTGTTTTGTTTTTATAGTGACTAAGATTATAACACAATGTTGCCTGCTGTACCCTTATTTTTTGACATTTTTACATATTATGTCTGTTTGTTTTGTTCACATATCGTCGTCAATATAATGGAATTTTATGCGACTGTCATACATGCGAGAGGTTAAGCTGGCTATAAAACCAGGTTTAATCTGCCATTTTCTACAGAAAAAATCCTGTACTAAGTCAGGAATATGACAGTTGTTATTCATTCGTTTGATGTGTTTCAGTTTATAATTTTGCCATTTGATTAGGGACTTTCCGTTTAGAATTTTCCTCGAAATCCCGTATTTTTTTTTATTTTGCTTTTATAATTTAGATAGTCACTGCTCTTTTAAACTATTTTTTGAGATAATAATTACAAAAACAGAAAGCGTTGCTTCTGTTTAACATAGATTATTTTCTCAGTATGTCCATGATTGACTCTGTCGATGATATCGTGAGCGGCATCACTTGTAAAAACGTCTACTTAAAGTTGCAAAACGTATCAGCTAGTCAAAAAGTAATTTTTGTTCTACTTTTTTTTCTACCAAACTATATATCTGTTGTTTTATTTTGAACCAGTCTATGATGAATAAAAGGAGATGTGGGGTTATACGCCCATGCTATAGTATCCCAACTACAAAACTAACCAAACGATACCAAGAGGACACAATAAGTCTTCAACCATCCATGAAACAAAATGTTAACGAGTGTAATGGAGAACAGTTAAAACTTATTTGTTTTAGAAACTATAAGTAAAATTAAAAAAAAAAAAAATACACACAAGTTCAGAATTTAAATATATGAAAAATCACAATTCCGAATAAGAATGAAGCCATTTTGATGTCCACTTTATCAATTATTATAACGAACGAATAAAAATGATTATGTTTTTGTAATATATGTCCTTTTGTATTCTAAATAAAAAAGAGTATTTCAATATATATAATGTCTGTTTATTTTGATCTTTGCTCTTCCTTCATTCACGAATAGAAACACATAACTGAACCATGTTCAACATGAAATAAACCATGACACGAATGAACCAAACCATGACACCGAATATTCTGTAATCTCAAATTGTGTGCACTAGGTGCTGTTTTTCGGGAAAAATGACGGCAGTTTTATATCATAACAAAATATGTAATGTAGCAGACAGTAAGCAAACCACTTTTCTTTCTGCATTAGAAACGAATCACAGCTTTTAAATTTTGACATACGCAAGCATTATTCTGTGTCAAATTAATAACTATATGATACAAATTTTGATGTGCTATTATATTAGCTATAAACAAAGATGCTTACCAGCTTGAATATGTTGTCATTAGTTCCTTTAACAAACTATTCGAATGTTTATATTTTGACACTGTTTGTCATCAAAAACACTTAACACAACCAGGTTCATCTTAACCAAACTATGACAAAATCACTGTACTAAACGGTTCTCGATATGACGAGGTTACTACCCGTGTTATTGGAGAAAAAAAAAATACGGTACACTTGATGAAATACCCTGTCAGGTGTAGGTATTTGATCAAGAAGAACGTTTTCTTGCATTTTCTGAAAGAGACAAAAAAAAGTATAGTATCAGATTATGCAGTAATAGTTTAAGGCTTGCTTAATTCCAACCTAAAACAATCACTAGAAGCACTTCTGCACATTAAAGTTGGGATTAGTTGATTTAATAATTTGAAACATTTCTCAAAGTTATTTAACTTGTATTATTTAAGCGACAGACTAATTTATATAATTTCTGAACAAGTTTTTCTCAGCAAGTATTTGAAAAGTATATTATGGTCAGGAATATAGATAAGTCAATCAGGATAGGTCACGCTTATCTTGTGGTATTAAGAAATTATATATATATATAATGCATTCAAATTAGAATACACGTCACCAACCCAATCTAAGAATATGGTATAAAAAATTAACCAAAGCGTTCTTTTAAATATACATATAAAAATAAGAAGATGTAGTATAATTGCCAATGAGACAACTCTCCACCAGAGACCAAATAACGTAAAGGTTAACAACTATAGGTCACCGCACGGCCTTCAACAATGAGCAAAACTCATACCGCATAGTCAGCTTTAACAATGTAATACAATAATTACGGAAACAGTGATTGAATGTGAACTAACATCCTTAAAAACGATACTAACAAAGGACTGTATCATTTACTTAAGGTCAAGGAACAGTAAATTGGCTATGTTACAGATATTGGTAAAACTTTGCATACAACTTTGGCTCATTGAACTACAACTATAAATCCAAAAAATAATGCATTTATCTCTGTTATCTTAAATATCACTGATTGAATTTTCTAAAAATAGGGAAACATTTGTATAGAAACCACACAAAATCGACGAAAAACGTTCTTTAATAATTATGTCTTTAAAGCATCAAATTTCCAATTTAAAATCCAAAGATTTCTCTTAAACAATATATGTTGGCTACAGAAACTTCCATTTTGATGATGTGAATTGATAATAGATTCACCTATCTAAGCAAAAGTGAAATGATTGGTGAGCACTAAAAAGTAAGTACTGATTCGATAGGGAAATAAATCAAAATCTGAAGCACGGGGAGACAGTAGAGTACCTCCCCGTGCTTCAGGTTTATGCTCTTATAATATACAAGAAAATTGAGTGTATGTCCGACCGAGAACTTCTCTATGTTTATTACTTTAGGAGCCTTCGACTGTTTTCTGCTCTTTGGTCGGGTTGTTGTCTCTTTGACACATTCCCCATTTCCATTCTCAATTTTGCGGTCTATGAAACACACTAATAAAAAAAAAGTACTGTTTACAGTACTGTAAAAATCAGTATTGTTACAGTACTGAAAAACTCAGTATTGTTACAGTACTGAAAAAATCAGTACTGTAACAGTACTGAAAAAATCGGTACTGCTACAGTACCGCAAAACTCGGTACCGCTACAGTACAGCAAAAATCAGTACTGCTACAGTATATAAAAAAATCAGTACTGTTACAGTACTGTAGAAATCAGTACTGTCACAGTACTGTAGAAATCAGTACTGTTACAGTACTGAAAAAAATCAGTACTGGTACAGTACAGCAAAAATCAGTACTGTTACAGTACAAAAAATAGCAGTACTGAATTTACCAAAAGTAGAACATTACAATTGTATCATGTAGCCGTTTAGTACTGAATCACAAGAGGGTAGAAATGTACAATAAACGTGTGGTATAATTCTTGGTAGTGTATGGTTTTATAATAGTTAAGTAAGCAAATATATTTTTTATAGATCTCTTGGTTTTGCTCGGAAATGACCAAAGACAGAAATACTTATACGAACACCTAGTTAAAACAGTTGGTACTGAAATAGATATACGAAAGAGACAACGACTATTTATCATACAAGATATGACCCGCAATACATGTTCGACTGACTATACCCAAATATCAAGTGGAAGTTTGGCAGAAGGACTTGATTTACCTGATAGTGACCTAGATACAATGTTCGTAATCCATGACGTTGACGTAATACATAATGTAAGCAATATCAAGCAGCCAATACATCGTACTACATATGTTATTGAGACAGACATTGATCATCCCGGATTTGCTAGACTCAGAATGGTAGCATCAAAAGGTGGGGAATCCCTCCGTGTGAAATGTCCCAGTTGTCCTCCAGGAACATGTACCGGTGAACAGATATATGCATCAGTAAACCGCTTTCGTGATTTTCATAAGCAAACTTTTGATTATAGGACGATGGAAGTACACGGTCCATGTCTAACAGACCCAAGTAAAAGCGTTGATAATGCATTCTGCCTACGGAGTAAACATTTTCCTCACAACGCAATTCCATGGGCAACCCGTCATCGTTGGCAATGGCCGCCGAATTCAGTAATTGACAGAATAATAAAATACGGATGTTTGTTAGTACCTATAGGACCGAAGACTATATCAGATGATGAATCATTATGGAGATTATCATTCTCTGTGGCAGAAAAAATACTTGTACATTCATTTAATTTCACTCAACTCTTATGTTACGGTCTACTCAAATTAACATTAAAGCGTGTCGTTAACACAAATAATGATGTCAAAGAGTTATTGTGTTCTTACTTTATGAAGACGGCTTTATTCTGGGTTTCGGAAGAAAAGGATTATGACACATTTCAATTACCTAAGTTATTTTATTGTTTTTCTCTATGTTTGGATAAATTAATATCATGGGTAAACATCTGCTACTGTCCGAACTATTTTATACCTGAACATAATATGTTTCTAGGAAAGATCAATTAGAGTAACAATAAGATGCTAGTACCTGTACTTGAGAGTATAAAGTCAGGAGGGATTGATGGATTGATAAAAAATCTATTTTTGCCTGACGATAAAAATAACTATTTATTAAGTACAAATAGTGAATATTCCTCCATTATGTTAGACTTCCTATTTTACAGAAGTAGTGGATCGTTCGCGATTTTAGCCGACATTTCAAGTTGGTATAAATGTCTTGCATTTACTAAATCTTTATTAAAGTCCGAATCGTCTGCATTTATTATTGATGTATGTACATACAATTATGCTGAAATCTGTAAATCTGTAGCACAACAACTACCCTCGCCTAATACAATAGGTAACACTTACAACATACGCAAATGCTATCATAGACATTTACAATACGGCATCAAAACAGATGCTGTATCGGGTTGGTTGTTATACGCGTCGTTTTATTATGTTACAGGACACTTTAATGTTACACTAAGACTCACGGATTATATTCTATCACGATATTCACCTGATATGTTGTATATAGCGGTTGATTACGGATGTGAAATGTGTGAAGTACATTCAAACGGTTACAGACAAAATGTCCATTCTACAATGACATTGAATGACAGGATAAAAATGGCTACTGTAAATGTTGTCCGGTACTGTCAGCACTCATCATTAATACCAGAAGAACTACAGCTGGAGGTTAGAAAAAGAAGATTAATAACATTTACGCCTGTTATAATGGCGCACTGCCTTAGATTTCTGAGCTATCATCATCTTGATGATATTTTCAACAGACAACAAGCTTTGCGTAATTTATATTTAACAGTGAAAAAAAATGTTCTCATTCCAGTTAATACTGTATCCGATTCATTAACAATACTTGGAGTATGCTGTGAAATATCAGGTGATAAAGACGCAGCGTATCAGTGCTATGAAGAAGCTTTGCAATGCGATTGTGTTATATCTAGTACAGCAGAACAAAGAAAATCAAAACTAGATGGCAACTAATGTGCAATTTGATCGTTTAAAAGTCATATTGAGCTTTATCATATCGGGATCACCTTCTTATAAATGATGACATTCTAATCTTGGTAATACTGACAATAAACCGCAGGCATTATATTAGTTATACCTAATACACAATTATGACCATTTTATTATCAGGCTCATGTGTTCAACAACACATCTAGGAAAACTAAAATCTGTTGCTATATTTACTTTCAGCATTGCAGTTTTGAAGGTTTAATGGTATATTTTAACCCCTAGGAAAAGAGATACTATGTTAATATGTTTGAGCTATCAAATTTGATTAAAACTGAACAATACATTACTAAGTAATTAGTCATTTTCAGTCTTTCATTCAATTTTTAGACGTATCCCCTGAGGTGAATTCAGTACTGTTCAGGCAATTCGCTTGCAGTCAATTAAGATCTGTCAGTCTATTTGCAGACTGTTCAGGAGTTGTACACATCAACAGCATACTGAATTACTTGAAACGCTACTGAACAGTACTCAATTGACTGCACTTAAATATAGATAGCTTTGTACAGTATATGTTGCTTTTTGTAGGCACTAATATAAAATTGAGAATGGAAATGGGGAATGTGTCAAAGAGACAACAACCCGACCATAGAGCAGACAACAGCCGAAGGCCACCAATGGGTCTTCAATGCAGCGAGAAAGTCCCACATCCGGAGGCGTCCTTCAGCTGGCCCCTAAACAAATATGTATACTAGTTCAGTGATAATGGACGTCATACTAAACTCCAAATTATACACAAGAAACTAAAATTAAAAATGATACAAGACTAACAAAGGTCAGAGGCTTCTGACTTGGGACAGGCGCAAAAATGCGGCGGGGTTATGTATTTATATGTAAAAACAAGTCTAAATTGAAAACAACGTTCAAACCTATGATTGCATTGGAAAAAAACCACAATTTTTATACGTGTGCATGCAAAACAAATTTCTTGGTAGAGGGGTCTAAATACAGCACAAACAACATTTTCCAAAAGACCAAAAAAGTGAAAAAGTATATTTTAACAAAACGCATTTGACTAACAGGTCGAACAACTGATGTTCTTAAACCCGCTGACTGTCATTGGCGATTGCCAAATAAACGGATCACCAGATGTAACTAAATGGATCTTATTATTAATTTATTACCAAACAGAAAACAATAAGTTTGAGGAAAAGATTGGAATACCGCAAACATGAGGTGCAAAAATTTGTACACCATATCCGGATTTCGACAATTAATGTCTCTTCAGTGATGTTAGGAATCGAAACGGTATTTGGAAGGCCATATAATTTACCTCAATTTAGGATAGACTCTTGAATTTTGAAAGAGTCGAACTAGGATGAACGGATCATATAAACCCGAAGGCAAATATAATACAAGCCCAAACGAAAAAATATATACAAGTCTAAATTGAAAACAACGTTCAAACCTATGATTGCGTTGGATAAAAACCAAACGGAAAACAATAAGTTTGCGGAAAAGTTTGGAATACCGCAAACATGAGGTGCAAAAATTTGTACACCATTTCCGGATTTCGACAATTAATGTCTCTTCAGTGATGTTAGGAATCGAAACGGTATTTTGAAGGCCATATAATTTATATGTGAAAATATATACTTCGTCTGACAATTTAAGACCTGCAAATAACGTTAGTAAATTCTTGTTCTACCATCAGACGAAGTTTATATGATATGTATAAATTGTGGTGTTATAAGCTGGCTGTGGTAATCCCATTGAGAAAGTCTTTCTTGAAGTTGTCTCATGTTTAGACATATATATATATATATATATATATATCAATTTATGTAAGATCTGATAAGAATTGGTAAGCTCACCATGAGTAATTCCTCCCAGAGTTATCCTTTAAATTGAGAATGTCGTCAAGTATCGGTTTTTTTTCCTGCATGGATAAAATGAAATATTATTAAGAAAACGATAAGAACAATTTTGTATTTTTATTTTTGGATAATTGCGTGCCTTATCTTCTGAAATGGTCCTTTAAAAAAACCTGGTAGGCGATGTATTTGCTACAACTCATATCGAACTTTATTCAATAAAAAAAGGGACATATGTTAGATATACTTATATACTGTGATGAGATGATTCAAGCTGTATATTTTCTCCTTGACAACATCCGTTTATGTTTCGGTAATAAGTTTATCGCCAGGTTATAAGTGTTCCTGTGACCACCAATTAAGTCCATAATATACCAGACTAGTTTCTGCATATTAACTATCCGTCTAAATTTATAATAACATTAATAATGTTTACTGTTACCTTTACGATATATTTGCTATAAATTATCAAGAATTCTCTAATAACAATGCAGGAATTACTTTAAATAACACTTATATTAACAGTAAAAATGGTCCTTTTTCTAGATTTGTATATTTCAGTTACACACGGATAAATCAAAACAAAACCTTTCGACGAAAGAGACGATTTTTCGTTCCCTTTTATTATTTTTTTTTTTTGCATGTTAAAGTTTGTTCGACCCCTTTCTAAAATGTGAATATTTCTCAAAAAGGATACCACATCTTAAATTTTGAACGGTAACCCTGCTAAGTTTTAACGGTAATACGGTCTATAAAGCACGTATATTTAGATACGATCCATTTCAACACACGGATCATTAGAATACGTTTATTCTTTAAGAATTTCAGTCAGACACCTTACGAAGAGCTTTGACTATTGTTTTTATCGGTACTAACATTATGTCTTTTTTGGGGGATAAGCTAAAACATGACTACATAGGTATTACTTTACATTTATAAAAACTTATGTTTCTACATCGTGTCGGTAATATGTACTTCTATTTTGGCATTGCACAAAGTCATGCTTTTTTCGATGATTTCATACGTCTTTATGCTTAATCCGTTGGATTTGTACTGATTACTTCTTTACTCTTATAGAACATGATTTATTTACGTCTGAAGCGTATAGTTAAAACATACCTTAACATCAGCTTTAATACCAAATTGATAAATTGGTGATAATTAGATTAATATTTTATTTCCATTTTTGAATCTGACCTCATCACTGACATTTGAAAAATGCCAATCTCTTGTCGCCTGGGTTCTATATATCATTGGATCTTTTAAAATAATATAAGTTCCTGATTGGTGGTAGTAATTTTTATAATTATCTGCAAAGTTAAAATTAAAGGATTTTTTTCTACTCAAGCTGTTTTATCACCAAAACAAAACACGTCACATCTGGTTTCATCTGAAAAAAGGAAAAACATCCCCTTGAATTTGACAGTTATGAGAAGATAACTAAGTCGTTTGAAAGAACTATTCTTTTTTATATGGTGTTTCTATGATCTAATTTTAAAACTTGAGGCGACCTGTTTATTTAAGCTAGTAAACATGAAAAGAAGGGGTGAAAAGTTGCTTAGTTCACTTCCGGTTAATGTTATTTCGTTCTATGCAATCAAATGTTGTATGAAATTTTCACTTTAGTACTGGGTGTAATAAAACTTATTTATCCAAACTATTTCTTCAATTTTAAACAAAGGTAAATTCTACACATTCTTTGGAAAATGCAAATTTAACAAAGAATAATAAGGAAAATAATGCTGATATTACCGGTACCCCTCCAAGATTTAATGTTCATATTATGAATTAATCCACAGTATAGAATACATCAACGCATTTTATCCAACAGTACATGTTTTGTCTATGCGTTGACCTCGTCCATAGCCTATTCCGAACGTACGAAATATTTTTTTATATGTTAGTTCTTTTACTTTAGATAAGATAAAACATATTAATGTAAGATCTGATCAGAATTTGATATTTTGGTAACCTTACCATGAGTAATTCCTCCCTGACTTATCTTTTGATTTGAAAATGTCGTCAAATATCAGATTTTTTTCCCGCATGGATATAATGAAATATTATTAAGAAATAGATAAGAATAACATTAATGTAGACGATTCGTCATTACCGCTAAGCTATTTATAGAACATAGTTTAACTCTTTATTCAAAATAGTTGATACAAATGTGGTACAATTTAATGTTCATGACCTATTCTGTAGGCATGTGTATTACAAAAAGTATGTAAACCCAAAACAAATATGAATAACCACTTATTAGTCGGTAATATTTCATTTAAAACATTAGCTTTGAAACAAAATCGTGCCTTGCAAACAAAAATGTGTACATCAAAACCGGTTAAACGAACAAAGTTTTTAGGATGCAGCCAAAAAAAATCCTCCTTAGTTGCTCGTATATATTTACATTGATTCTTTAAGAGTTAGAAGTCGATCAGATGGACTGTAGTTTCATACTAAAAGTACATTTTTTTAAGATTTATAAAGTTCAGAAAGCTAACAAACCTTTCTATCAATTTCATGTTGTCTTTTCGTCGTTTTCTGTTTTCTTCTACCATTGGTTGATAATTGTCGTCTTCATATCTTTTTTTTTCGTTTACTCTTTTTATTATATAGTCAGTTCGGTTTACTCGCTATTTTTTTATTCAATTGGTCTTATTATGTATTTGTTTCCTGGGTTTCAAATGTTTGCAAGGTCCAGTGTTTATCACCAATTAATTGGTTGATATATTTAGATTCTACCACTGCATCGAGTGTGATACGATATTTATCCACTCGAGACAGTTAAATTTTCAAATTTAAAACGAGGGGCTCGCCGAGCGTTTTAAATATTTAAAATTTAACTGTCGAGAGTGGATAAATATCGTATTACACGAGATTTGGTGGTGGAATCTGTTTCTCTAATAATTTTCAAACTATATGCAGGCAAACATATTCCATCTTTTTGAATGATCTGCAAAAAGATGTGTTCTTTCTATGTGACGTCATCAGGCATGGTCGCCTTTTTTCATGCCGTCACAATAGGAAATTCAGAGGAAAGCCAGAAAATTCGACGTCATAATCAGATGTTAACCAATGAAGAACTGAGATCAAACGAACCACACGTTGATTAAATTTTTTTTATACAATGGGTGCAGAAAGGTATAAATTGACGAAGAATTAGAGAAATATATATATATATGGATCTCAACTCACTAGCGAAAAGGTTAGCAGTCTTAGATCTTTAGATACCAGAATGGTAGTCTAATTTGTAATTTTACCGATGGTGTCCTATTCCCGATAGTGACATTTTGGATGAGCGTTGATTTGCATGACATGGGATGAATGCATATCAAGAGATGCAAAGGACACCGGTCTCGCCTCTTTGTGAGTTCATTCAATTTTCTCAGGTTTCGTTTCTTACTTTGATTG